CGGAGCGACCTCGGGGCGCCCGGCACCCGGGCAGGGCTGCCCGGTGGAAGAGCCGCTTTCCCGGCGCGCGGCCGGATYGGTTCCTCCGTGCAGCTCGTGTGCCCTCGTCCTCAGCGCCCTTGTCCTCCTGCAGGGAAGCTGGAGGGTGTCTTCCCCTGAGCAGGAGGGTCCCGGGRTGCCACCGCGCGTGGCCGCGGGTGCTCGTGCTTCATTTTCTGCGTGCTTCTGTGGGGCGTTTCTGCTGTTGAGCCCCCGTCTACCCCTGCAAAGGTGCAAGGGCTGCTCTCGTTTTGCGGGATCTGCTGCACCCAGATGGCTGAACTGCCTGCCCAGGGCCCGTGCAGGTGGTGCAGTGAGGTGCTTCTACAGAGCGGGGGACGCTTCTACAGAGGCTCTCTTTATTTTTAGACAAAACAAATCCACCAAGATTTGTCCAGGAGCCAGAAAGGTCTGTTTGAGTGATGCAGCTCCCTGTTGTTTCAGATCCAAGCTGCTCCGATCTTGCCAACACCATCTCTGTCAGTTTAGCTCCAAGCGGACATGGGCAGGAGCACGATGAGGCTTCGGAGGCTCTCCTCAAGAAAGCAGCCCACCCRAGGAAGATGGCAAGGGACGGCAGTCTGACCAGCACAGTCGGTAAGGACCTCTCAGCCCCGCTGCCCAACCTGTCAGTCAAGTCCTGTCCCAAGCATCCTTCCATCTSCATGTGAGGAGGAACTTCTTTCCTGTGAGGGTGCCAGAGCGCTGGCACAGGCTGCCCAGGGAGGCTGTGGAGTCTCCTTCTCTGGAGATCTTCCAAACCCGCCTGGATGCCGCCCTGTGCCCCGTGCTCTGGGTGTCCCTGCTGGAGCAGGTGGTTGGACTAGGTGATCTCTAGAGGTCCCTTCCAACCTCAACCAGTCTGTGATTCTGTGACTTGCTGCCAGGAGGACTGAGAGGGCCAGGTGGCCCCTCAGTGTAGAGGGCGCTTAAACGGGGTTCCCCAAGCTCTTTTATCTGAACAAGTTTGGTTTATCCTGTCCCACAATGGAAGGGAGGGCAAAATGAGCACCTTATAAGCACATTGATGTGCCTCCTGAGARCCTGCAACATTAATGTCTTAGAATATTAACGGAGTAAAAATAAAAAGAAAGAACTGGCCATATTGTTTCCCCCATGGGGARGGTGGGCGCCTTGATGCTGGTGCTCAGGAGACTCTCCCTCTGTAGCTGTGAGGAATCTGGCCCGCCGTGTGCTGCGAGGAACGTGCTGGGATACCCACCACTGTGCAGTGGGGCTGTGGGAGCAGGGACGCTCTCCCYGCGCCCCATCTCTGCACGGGCCTGAGCCCTTCCCTGAGCCGAATCGTTCCTTGCCTTGAGGTAACTTCTCCCTGCCTTTCCCTCTGCTCCTAGGGGTSCACGGCCGGGGGCCATGAAGCTGAACGAGCGGAGTGTGGCGCACTACGCCACGTGCGACTCGCCCGCAGACCACGCCGGCTTCCTCCGCCAGCGCGTGGAGCGGCACCACCACCATGGCCACCACGCCACCTCCTACCAGCGCCGCTGGTTCGTCCTCAAGGGGAACCTGCTCTTCTACTTCGAGGAACGCGACAGCCGCGAGCCCTTGGGCCTGGTGGTGCTGGAGGGCTGCACCGTGGAGCTRTGCGAGGCTGCTGAGGAGTTCGCCTTCGCCATCCGCTTCGAYGACGCGGGGGCCAAGGCCTGTGTGCTGGTGGCCGACGGGCAGGCGGCCATGGAGGCCTGGGTGAAGGCGCTGTCGCGGGCCAGCTTCGACTACATGCGCCTGGTGGTGAGGGAGCTGGAGAAGCAGCTGGAGGAGGCCTGCAAGAGCCTGGCTGCTTGCCGCAAGTCGCCGCGGAGGTCCGGCTCGGGCAGGAAGAGGCACCTCTCCAACCCCGCCCTGGGGCCCGTGCAGGAGAAGCCTGCCGCTCTGGAGAACGGCTACTGCACGTGGGGCAGCGGCGGGGAGCCCGCGACGCCCCGCTGCGCCGAGCGCGATGGGGCCTTCCCGAAGCCGCCGCCGCTG